ATATATATAAATGTAGACTTTTTTTTTATTTAAAATATATGGTTTTTTTTTATTTATTTAAATAACCTGGTCCTATTTTCAAAATCCAAAATCGGTTACTAGGTTGGTTTTTTTTTTCTTTCATTTTTTGGGCTTTTTTTTTCAGATTTTGTAAAATAAAAAAATAATTATTCACTTTTTGAAAAAAAATATAAAAATTCCTTTGAGAAATCGGTTACCCAGTAACTTATTTCTCACCTGAGCCTCAAAAATAGGTTATTTGTGTAAATAATCTTGGACCCAGGTTATTTAAATAAATAATTTTTTTTGATATATTTAAAAAAAGTCTATAAATGTAATAATTAATATTCTAATGAGATTAATACTTAGATTAAAATTGTAAATTTTATATAATTAAATGATTAAAAATCTGTTTAAAAAATTATAAAAAAAGTTATTTTAATAATCAATGTATAATTGATTGTAGTGGAAATGAATTTTTATTTGTCTAAATACAATAAAATAATTATCTTTTTCTAAATTATATATTCTTCATGCAACATTAAGGGAGTATTTGACATAGGAAATATTTTTACATTCTTAAAAATCTTTTAATGAAAATTTTAGTTTTTTATAGCAATCATTTTTATTCTGCTTTTCCATAAAAACATTCCTATTGGAGGATGAGAATCTAACTTTCTTGAATTAAGAAGAAAGTTTTATATAGATAAAAAGACTACAATATGTCTTTTAAAACAAAAATATCTTTCTTTTTCTTTTATTTCTCTTTCTTACTTTCTCTTTCTCATATTTCTATTTCTCTTTCTCTTATATTTCATTATTCTTTGACTTTGTTAATTTTAATAATATTATTATATTTTATTTTATTTTTATATTTTACTGATATTTATTAATACTTTTTTATTTGAATGAGATAAAATGATATATTTTATTTTTCTAAATTATAATGTAGTATTTTTTTTTCTTTTTTTTTTTGAATTCTGCATTTAAATTATTTTTAAAAAATTTAATAATTTTAATAAGATTTGCGTAGATAAATATATACAATGAATTTATTTTAATAAAATATATTTTTGTAAAAAAATATTTATAAACTTAGGAATATGTTATTATAACCAAACATGAAAATCTTTAATTCTCAAGAATCATGTATGAATATTTCCAAAATCTTTCATTCTAAACAAACATATTTTAGTTATTCTCAATAATCATAATTTCTCGATTTGTAATTCACAAAAATCATGATTCTTAAATATGAAAAAACTTCTCCCCTATCAAATGTTCCTCAAGTGACATGTTAACATTCACATATTTTGTATTTGTCAAATTTTTACAAAATATTGTTTTTTATTCAATAAAAAATACTCTTTATAATGAATAAAAAAAACGTTGATATTTTTAAGAGTCAATATTGTATTTTCAATAGATTAATAAATGGACCAAAATTACTTAATTTTAAAAGTTAAGAAAACTCTCAACAAATTAATAAATGGATCAAAATTATTTATTTTAAAAGTTAAGATACTAATTTTGTTTCAATCAAAAAAGAGGACCATAATCAGATATTAATGTGAGAATAAAAATACAGTTAAACAATGTATACTCCCATATCAGCACAGCCGTCAAGGCAGCTCATCATAGTCAATGTTAGAGCATATTTTGATAAACTCTTTCAAAAGAACTCGAGATTTTTTATTTTATTTTTATTCATGTATGAGTTAAAACTGTGGAACTGTCGGAGTGATAAGGTGGTTTGGTGGCGAAGGGGGTGGTCCTGGGGCTGGAGGGATAAGGATAGTCAGAGGTTCGAACCTCCTGTGACCCAACTAACATAACTTACTAATTACTAACATTTGCCGATACAAAAAAAAACGTGGAACTGTCATTGAGTTCTTCGGTAACTTATTATTAATGAATAAATTAATTTTAACTTATAAAAAAATATTTTAATTATCCATTAATCAAAAGCTTGAATAACAAAGATTAATTAAAGTATATGTTTATATATATATATATATATATATATATTAATTTACTTAATTATCAATGTCTAAAGCATTCATGCATTAAATATTTATTAAAATTGTAAATATGCCAAATGGATTGTGAAATAAGGTCATACTTGCACAATTTTTTTTTCGTCCCTGGAGTATCCACCGCCGATAGCAGTGACTAATCTCCTCGCTACGTTAGAGACATCTCAAAGGGTAGGATAGCTGGCCCCAAGATTTAACGTGACTGCATACACAAGACAAGATTCAAACTTCTAACCTTGCTTAAGCGTGGATCAACCCCTATCCCTAACCTTGCTTAAATTAAAAATCCTGTGACTTTACATTATAAAATTAATCAGGTAAGATATTAGAAAAGTTAATTTTATTTACACATGATTTTAAATATCAACGATAATGAAATATGTGAAAAGGGAAGAAAATTTATCAAACATTTGAATAAAATCTAATTAACTAATTCAGCAAATACTTTTTTTGATCTTGTCACCTGGTACTTAAGTTAAAGGACATTAAATATGCATTCTTAAATAAATATAACATAACAATGCAGACAATATAGAGCCGGTAAGTTTCCATTGCTTTTATTGTGAATTGCTACATCATATTGGGTATCAGGTGAGTGGTAAGTTGGACATTCTCTATGTTTTTGGACCATTGTGAGCATTCACGTGTTATTATGATAAGAAAATTAACGTGACTATGCCGATATCAAACACTTAGTTTGGGATGGAAATCTGAGTTAACAAGCGATGATGATAATTCATCTAAACAAGCCATCCGAATTCTCTCAGGAGTTGCTGGAGTGTCGAGAGGAAACCAGTCATTACACCCCATTTCAGCTCTTGCAGCTATGATGGCATCCTTGATTGCAAATAACACAGCTGATGCTAGGAAAAATGGAGGCTCACCAACAGCTTTAGATGAATGGATGGCCTTAACATTTGGATGACCCTACCAATTAGAGCATACAACAATAAACAGAGAAGTCAACATGTTGATATCTTCAATTTTGTGAATTAATAACATCAATATTTTAATCTTATAATGACCATCTAATATAATAGTTCAGGGTTCAGGAATATACCTTCAGGAGTGAGACATTGAATTTGAAGGGAACATCATTTATAGAAGGAATTTTATAAGCTCCAGGTCCACATGTGTAAAGGCACCCGGGCGAGATCCATTTATGTGCTCCATCTCCCCATTTAAGTTCTTCTAAAGCTACCCAACCTAGACCTTGCATAAAAGCTCCCTCGATCTGTGAAAATATATGGCAAGAACAAAATATGAATTCATCATGCAAAAATAAAGCAATATGATTTTCAAGAATAGGGAGGGAAAAAGTAGGAAGTTGTAATTCAAAGGAATATATATATATATATATATATATATATATATAAAATAAAACTTTCTTAATCAAAACAAGGTTCCAAAACACATAGATAGAGAGTTCACATTCATATTTCACAAATCGTAGTCCAATGCAGAAATGATGACAAAATAAAACATTAATCTTTCTAAAACACAATAACAGTAATGAAACTCCAATGCTAATCCTAACTAAGTCCCGATGTCACATGTCCTATCAGAGCACATCCTACAATGAGACTTAAACCTCATCACCAATATCCCCATGTTGATGATCATTTGCAATACAATAAAAATACACATAAAGCAATAAAGGAGTGAGAAACATCTCGCTCTGATTCAGATGTAGAAATAAATGTTAGGCAACATACACACAATCATAACAAATACCACACAAGTTACACATAACCAAGCATAACTCTCAAGTTATAAATACATTAGAATACATATACATTTACTTATCATGCAATAATGTCATGAACTCGACTCATCAATGCATTCATGTGGTGTCATACAAAAGTTGCACATTTATCATCACTGGTATACTGCTATAGCAAAATACCTAGGGGCACGTTCATTCATGAATACATCACTAGTGACCAAAGGTACACCTAGAATAGCTCAATACATCTCTAGCGGCACACCTAAAATAGCTCAATACATCACTGGTGACCCAAGGTAAACCTGAAATAGCTCAATACATCACTGGCATGCAGCCTAAGTAACACACCTGGAATAACTTAATACATCACTAGTGACCCAAGGTACTCCTAGAATAGCTTAATACATCACTGACATATGGCCTAAGCGGCACACTTAGAGTCATATATGCGCATGATGCATGTCACACATTCACTATTTCATTGACTCAATATTTTACTTATCACGTCTCATCATATCTCATGTCACATTATCTCATAATATCATATCACAGATCACATGTTCACTTTTCATATTTTCACATCATATTCACATAGTCTCATACAAGGAACTTTTCATAGTCATATACATCAAAATAGCACATAAACCATACCAATAAATTATCCAACATCATACTCATTCAGTTCGCAATTCATAACATATGAAGCATAAAGGCCATAGATTCAACTTCATAATTTCACGCATTTTCTACAACCAACCAGTTAATATAATATTTCAATTGGTCAAAACACTTCAAATATCATCCAAAACATGAATCCATCATTAATTTTACATATAATGGCTCAAAATTCATCCAAAGATCATATCCTTACTTTCACTTCATAGGATTTCCCACAAGAACTCACAGAGCACTCTAATTCACATCAAAACTTATCTATTTTTGAAATTAAACACATATTCACACTCAGTAAACATCAAGGAACACAACAGAAAACTTAGAAGCCAAAACAGAAAACATTCAAAATTTGTCTATTTCTTATAGGATTTCCTGTAGGAACCCATAGAGCACTCTAATCCATATCAAAATATATCTAAACTCAAAATTAGACATACATTCATGCTCAGTAATCATCAGAGAATGCAACAGAAAACTCAGAAGCCAAAA